CAGTCTCATGACTCAGCCATTTCCACCCAGTCAGCCCAGTGGCATCTCCGCTCCTCTGCTCCAAATTCCAACCTGGTGAGGCTGCTGGAGGCTGAGTCAGCGCTGGCACGGCACGAGAGCAACATCTCAAGGAGCTCTCTGCCAACACCCCTCACCCCTAACCCAGGCCAGGAGAGACAGGATAGTGCAGACAGAAGTCAGGACCTGAGGCTGCAGCAGCCATACGGGAGAGGATGGCCAGGTCATGAGTGCCCATGCTCTGTGGGTTGTAAGGTCTCTCTGGGTCAGGAACCACACTCTGAGAAGGGAGGGTCAGAGGCAAGTCCCAGCTCTGCTCTCACTGAATCACCCTGCATTATCTTTTCTCCCATTGGCCTCACCCCCCCCCCCCCCGCCCCCGAGATAGGGTCTTAAAGCTCTGGTTGTCCTGGAACTTGCTATGTAACACCAAGTTGTCCTCTAACTTCCAGATATCTGCCTGCCTCTGCCTCCTGAGTGCTAGAATTAAAGGCGCGTGCCACCATACTTGGTGGCAATTTCTTGACAACAGGATTGGGCTAGCATCTCCTTAATGAGGTAATGAGTGTTGAGCGATACATGTGGAAGTGCTTTGTAAACTATTCAGTGGCTTCTGGATAGGGTAGTGGAAGTGAATGCCAATGCCAGGGCTTCTGGAGACACCATCCATGGATATTCAGGCTGTTCACTGGCTAGGCTGCTCCAGCCCCGGGTGCTGAAATCCAGCCCATCTATGTGTGACCATCTTGGAACTGCAGGGACAGAGTGCTTTAATGCGAGTCCTGAGGCATGCACATGGTGGTTCAGACCTGTAATCCTGGCACTCCAGAAGCTGTGTCAGGAAGACCAGAACTGAGACCAGATTGTGCTACATTACTGTTTCAAAAAGGATAAAACTGTGAGGGCAGAGGGCCTGTGGGTGTAGCTCAGTTGGCAAAATGCCTAGCAGGTGCTAAACCCTGGGTTTAATTTTGGTCACTGCGATGTGATAAACTGGATGTGATAGTGCACACCTGTAATCCAACACTCCCAGCACTCAGGTACAGACAGAGGATCAAGATGAGCGTATCTTTAATCCCAACACGTGGCAAGTGGACAGCCACAGTCCAAGGCCAACTTGGTCCATGCAGCCAGTTCCAGGCCAGCCAGAGCCACATAATAAAACCCTGTTTTTAAAAACAAAAAGTCTGAACTGCGGTGGCTTAGTAGATAAAGGTGCTTGCCTGACCAGAGTCGGATTCTTGGGACCCACCCAGTGGAGGTAGAACTGAACTTCTCCAAGTTGTTCTCTGACCTCCAAATGTGTACATGAGACAAACTAGCCTCTGCACCCCCATAAAAAAGTAATTTTATATTTTACTGGTTCCAATATGTTGCAAAGATTTTTCTGTGTATAGGTGTTTTGCCTGTCTCTGACCTATGTGTGCAATGCCTGCAGAGGCCAGAAGAGGGCATCTTATCCCCTGCAACTAAGTAGGTAGAGGCTGTTACCTGGTCACCTCATGAATGCTGGGGGATTAAACCTACCATCCTCTGCAAGAATTATTAGTTCCCTTAAGTGCTGAGCCAAGTCGCAGCCGCTTTAGCTCCCCACCCCATCCCTGAAATCAGAGATCCACCTGCCTTTGCCTCCCGAGTGCTGGGATTAAAGCATGTCCACCATGAATATAATTTTTTAAAAACCTAAAAGCTGGGGGTGGTGGTAGAACAGGTCTTTAAACCCAGCACTTTGGGAGGCAGAGCCAAATGGACTTGATTGAGTTCCAGGCCAGCCAGGGCTACATAGTGAGCCCTTGTCTCAATAAAATTTAAGTCTAAACAAATACACCTTAGGTCAAAGAGTAGTCCCTTGGGCCTTCCTGAAAAGACTAAGAAACTGATTCTGATCCATGGGTGCAGAGTGAGCTCAGCTTTGTGGAAGTATTCGGAAATGAAGCCTAACTTCAGAAGTGACACGCCATCTTCATTGCTGAGGGAGGAAGAAAACATTGGCCTGGTCAGGTCAGAGTTGCCTCTTCGGGCCATGCCCTTCCTCAGGAGCCAAAGCAGGTAACCACCTGGACAGTATTTTTAAAAAACACCCAAGACACAGACCCAAGCTGGGTTTTATTGAAATGCCAGGAGCAGGCACATGTAGTCAAGGAAGGGACGTTGGTGATGCAGGCTATGAGTTTGCAGGGAGGAGCAAGCCAACATCCATGACCCTGCATCTGCTCTTGGCCAGAACATATATGGGCCCCAACAACATGCTCAGTCCTGTAGGAGCCCTGCCACCTGGGCTATGATGCCACCAAGGGCAGGGACTGGAAGCACTAAGTTTTCTCCCTTATGAGGGAGCAAAGAAAAGGAAGATGCAGGGTGAGTCTAGTAGGGGACAGAGGTGGCCAGAGCAGGCTTCTTGAGTATCTGCACCCAAGTTGTGGTCCTGGGCAGTGGCGGGGAGCAGCATCAAAGAGGGCAGCTGAGAGCCCGGCCCTCGGGGAGCCAAAGCCCCCACCCTGTGGGGGCTGGAGCCAACCCGGCACAGAGAGCAGAAGTTCAAAGGGACTGAGTACAGGCAGTTCCCAAGTCAGTTAGTCCTCAGAGCTAGGGGGCGTGGCCTTCTTGGGACAAGGAAGAGAAGAAAGAAGGATCCAACCCCCGCAGGGGAGCAAAAGGTGGTCTCGCCCACTAGGCCCCACTAGGTCAGTTCTACATTGTTGGCACGGTCCAGCACTCGAGAGCCACGAGCATTGCCTCCAAGCTGGAAACGGCTCTCATAGAGAGTGGGGCAGAGGTGCCAGCGGTTGGCTCGGTAGATGCCCAGGTAGGTGTAGACATCAGGTTTGTAAGTGAGCAAGCACTTAACACCTGCAGCACGGATGGCAGAATCTGCCTCCAGCACACCCAAGCGGTCCGTGAAGTCGTCCGTGTAAACACAGATGACCTGGCGCCCACCCTCCTTGGCCCGTGGGCTCACCTTGGCCACCTGAAGACGGCCCTCAACTACAGCCCTGGCAATGCCAGCCCAGGCATGGTCCAGCTTGAAGCCAGGTGCCAGATGAATCAGCCACTTGCCAGAGAGCACGCGGTGGGTGATGGCCAGCTGGCGCAGGGTACCTGGTGTGATGGGCCGCCCACTGGTCTGCAGAGCCTCCCAGGCTGCCTGCAGCCCTTGGACATCCCCTGAGTTGGGGGTGTAACCCTGCCCATAGGCTGCAATCCAGCCCACAGGTTCAGAGTTGGGTGAACCTGGGTCCCCATAGCGAGTAACTTGAGATGGTGGGTACTTGGCCAACCAGGCATCCAGCTCTGAGGCAGGTGTAGTACGGGAATCAAATACCAGCCAGGGATCCATGTCGGCTGCCATGGCCTCTGCAGCCAGGTGCTCAGCAGTGAAGCCATCCTCTCGGCCACCTGGAGAGTCCTCCTCTTCCAGCTCCTCGTTTGGTTCCATCCTGTTGTGAGGGAACAGAGTCAGGGGAGGTTTGGGAAAGTAACCACAAAGTGCTGGGTCCTCTAGGATGCCAGGCACTGGCTAAACTGTGGCCTTGGGCAAGACTTAACCTCTGTCTGTGCCTCAGTTGCTTCATCTTTACAATGGGATAACAACTGATCCTGCCTAGATTTGTCTCTGGAATAAAATGCCGGAGGTGGAGTCGCTATTGTTAGTACTTTCACCGCTTACAAACAAGGAAACAGAAACTGAGAAAAGGGACTCGCCCAAGGTCACGTCTGTGTGGGTGGAACAGCTGTCGCGTGTGAGCTGGCACGGGACTCCCTACACCTCTTGCCTGGGGACCGGCAGGTAGCAAGGCGCTGCGATTTCAGGGATGTAGGCACACCACAGTCTGCCAACCCTAGAGAGTGGCTGTGGAGGGCTGGGCCTCCCGGTCAGCTATCTGGGGCACACTCAAAGACCGAAACACTGTGGCCAGGAGAGGGTAGCCGCCCACCTGGGGTCAAAGGGCAGCGTCAGACTCGAACCGGCTCCGGACAGAGCCTGCGGGAGGGCCCGGCTCCAGTCCTACCACACCCGCCGCCATTAGTACCCACAGCCTCAGGGTTGCCCCCGCTCCAGGGTTGCCCCTCTCGCCGCCCCGCAGTCACCTCCGGCCTTCGCTCCGTTCCGCGCCAACCCAACTTCGGGCCCGGCTCCGTTCCTGCCCGGGGTCTGCTCCGCCACCCCCGCCGCGCCCCGCCCCTGCCACGGCCGCCGCCGCCGCCGCCATCTTAGGGTCCCGCCACCTCAACAACAACTTTATAGACAAACGCAGTCACAGGGCGGGGCCAGAGGCGGAACCGGCCGACTGGAGGCGGGGGCTCCAGGGGAAGGGGCGGGCCGCGCTCAGGGGCGGGGCCAACGCGAGATTCCTGGGCGGAGCCGGCCTGCGGGGGGCGGAGCTAACGTTCGTACTTCTACCTTGGGAGCGGGTGGGAGTGGCGGGCGATCTTTGAGAAGGACGCGCACCGCCCCGGAGGCTCCAAAAGCAGAGCGCCAGGGTTTGGGGAGCTGCTTGTCGGCTGGCGGCGCTAGGACCCTGCGGGCAGCGGCGGGGGCGGAGCAGGCGGCAGCAGGACCCGGGGGAAACCGCGG